ATGCCCTGACGGTTTGCTTCGCGCGATCGGCCTGTGACCCACGCCGTGTAGTCATCGACGAAGGCCAGCGCGCCCCCGTTCTCGTCGATTTGGTGCTGTACGAGATCGGCGTTGAAGAAGAGGAAGAGCACGGGCGAAAGCGGCGAACCCTGAGGCAGTCCGGCTTGTGGTAGCGGACGAGCCTCGGACTCGTGACCGTTAACCAGGATGCTTGCCGTTCTATGGGAGCAGAAGGCGTCCACCCATCTCACCAGCTTGTCCGGGATCCCCCGCGCTCTGAGTCTTTGAAGTAGTCTCTCTTTGTACACACCATTGTATGCTCCCTTGACATCGAAGCTGACCAGACTGACCACCTTTCTCTTTCTCCACGCTCTGTAGATGTACTCCTGCAGCAGTACCAGCGCCTGCTCTGCCGACCTCTGCTTGCGAGCGCCAAAGTGGCTCGTGGGAAGGAGGCCGAACGTCTCGACAGCGTGCGAGATACGTTCTGCCAGGACCGACTCCAGCACTTTTCCGAGCGTCGAGAGAAGCGAGATCGGTCGCCAGGCCTTCGCTATACCGTAGTCGCTTTTGTTTGGCTTCTTCAGCGGGATGATCTTCGCGTGTCGCCACTGCCTCGGCAACACCCCTTCATCCAGTGAGGTCTGGAAGAGTGTAAGCACCCTCTCCTTCACCACTGGCCATGTGTGCTTCCACACTGCCACCGGCAGACCGTCCTCTCCGGGTGCTTTCCACGACTTTGCCGCAAAGAGCTGTCTCTCTACTTCTCCCAGTGTGAGGTTAGGGAAGGGTACCGGCGATCGTTGTGGCTGACCCCCTCCTCCTCGATCATGCTGGGGAGAGGAGGGAAAAATGTGGAGAGCAGCTCTTCGGCCTGTTCTGTGGCGTCTCCCGTTTGGGAGCCATCCGCCCTTTTAAGTTGAGGTATCTTGTCGAAAGATGCCCCTTTACTGGCGTCGAGATACTTCGCGGCCTTCCAGATATTGGCGTCGTCGGCCAGAAAGTCCTCCCAATGGCTCTTCTTCTGTTGTCGGATGGCGTCGTGATATTGCTTGGCTGCCGAGCGGGCGCGTTGTTCCAGTTCGGGTTGAGTATTACCTGCCCTTCTCTCCGCTCTCGCCCGGTTTCTCCAGTGAGTGTGGATCTGCCGGAGCTGGGTGAGATCAGCCGTCCACCATCTCTTTGCATACGGTGATGGCTTCGCCGTAGGTGTCAGTGCCTCTACTGCCTCACACACCACAGATATCAGTCGATCCGTCTGCTGCTGCACCGTACCTCCCGTTGGCACTCGTCCTAGGTTTGCTTCTACCCTCTCATTGATCTGCTTCCATGGAGCGTTCTTGAGGAGGAGCCGTGGCCGGCTTTCCATCTCAGGCGCGGCGATGTCGAAGGTCGTCTCGATCGCCCGGTGGTCCGACCCGTGGTCCGTCTTGTGCAGGGCGCATCGTACCACCGCTCTTGCTAGCTCTTCGGACGCGAGGGATAGGTCGATCGTCGTAGTCGTCTCGTTCTTCTCCCACGTCTTCGTCCCCTAGGAGGAGGCTGCGGAGCGAGTACTCGCTCATTAGATCGATGATCGGGTCCGCCTCGCCCTGCCGGCCCTCCGACACATCATCACCTCCCCACAGGTAGTCGTGGCAGTTGAAGTCTCCTACCAGGGCCACGTCCACCCTTTCACCTGTTTCTCCTCGGACATTTGTGATAGCTTGCTTCAGCAGGACGCACGCCTGCCGCAGCATCTCCGGCTTCTGCACCGGCACGTACACCGACGCCACTAGCAGCCTTCGATCAGGAAGCCGGACGACGGCCGCAGTGATATCCGAGGACGCTATCGGCACCTGTTCCGCCTCTACTTCTCTGTTCACCCACAACAAACTTCTAATCCCCCATCTCCTTCGTCCCTCCACTCCGTCGGCACCATCTTCGTCCACCTGTTATGTCCCATCGGAACAGTAATGACCTTACCTTCTATCCTCCGCGCCCATGGCTCCTGCACCGCTATGGCCGTGAAGTCGCGCAACGCCTCGTCATTCATCAGACTTTCGTGCACTGCAGCCTGTTTCCTCACGTTGAGCTGAAGGATCTGGACCTTCCTACTCATGGGAACGCGGGTACAGCTTCGGACAGTTCTTGCTGAACGACTCGTGCGGTCCGCCACAAGGCACACATGTCACGATCGTCTCACGGCACTCAGAGTGGTGATGGCCTACCTTGGCGCATCGTCCACACACCCGGGGGTTTACGCACTGGTACGCCTTGTGCTTCGTGATCTGCTGGCAGTTGTAGCACTGCTGGGGGCGCGGCCGCCGTTCAAACGCCATCGTCGTGCCGGACTCTCCTCCAACGTGGAAGAAGCCCTCGGAGATCAGTCTACGCGCATCACCGGCCTTGGTCACGAACACGACCATGGACCCATACGCCTTGGGCATATCTTTCTTGCTAAGCCAGGAAATCTTGGCAACCGTGGTCTCGTTTTCTCGGCTAAGTGCCTCCGCCGCTTCAGCCCTGACATTGCCCTTCTCATCCAGGATCTCAGTTCGCTTTACATTATCTACCTTCACGGGGTAGAGCTCGTCTCGTAGCACGCGTGTTCCGGAGCCGAAGCTCTTTTCCACAATCTGCTTGACAAGCTTATGCTCTGCATCGTCGCGACAAATGATCCGGATCCTATCCGCGTTCCTTGGGTCTACCGTGACGGCCAGACACCGCCAGCTACCCTGTCCGTCCAACGCGCGCATCTCCTTTTCCACCGCAGCCCGGATCCGGCCTGGGTTGAGCTTGTCGCTGCCTTCTTCAACTCTTGATGTATCGATCGTACAGAAGGGGTCGCTGCGGCTCGGCAGCGTCGCGTTGCCCGCCGTGGCTACCCGCGAGTCGCGACCTTGCCCACCTAAGCCGCTTCGCGCGACGTCCGCGTAGGACACACTTGGGCTGTTCCGCGTCGCAGCAACTGTTGCGAGTGCTTCGAGGTTTTCGTTCGTCTTGGCGCTTTCGTCCTCCACGCGTTCTTTCATCGCTTGCAGCTCTCCTTTGACGGCCTGTAGCTCGCTCTTGACTGTTTGCAGCTCCGAAGTGACCACGCGAAGCTCTGCCTCAACGTTTTTATTCCGTGCTTCCGACTTCTTCCACGCATCGAACATGATCTTGACCGCTGTGTGTAGCTCTTTGACCTGCTTGCCCATCGTCAGGAGCAGCCTTTTGTCGTCATCCTCTATGGGTTTCGCGCGTTCCTTGGCCAGGGTTGTGGCTCGCTTGGTCGTCGTCCGCCGGCCACCACCAGCAACCTCCGTCGCTCCGTCGGTCGCATTGTCGATTATCTCTTGATGAGTCTGGTTCAGTTGGGCTTTCGCGGATGGCTTTCGCACCCTTCGTGATGGCAGGTCCTCGTCGCTCGCTGCCACCGCCTCCCTCGCAACGGTGATGGACGTCGAATCTAGCTCGAGATCCATCGCGTCGGGACGTGCGCAGAGACGCCACGCGGTAGATCGTGCTAGTGCCACGTAGCGCGTTTCGGAGCTTCTCGACAGCGCTCAACCCAACAACGTCGAATGATTCTTCACACAATCAAATATCGAAAATTCCCCAATCCTCTGATCAATACTACAGTAGAAGTCGAATTTGGTTTCCGTCTTTCTGGGATCCCTTCCAGAAACAGATACTCGTACCGTCTATATAATAGCAGATGCTTGTAACATAATACTTACCAAGTTGACTGTCATCAGTCCATAGCTGCTGTTTCGCAAGCTCAGTTCTTGAAGCCCAAGACCCAGGGCCATGAACGATACTTTGACTGCCATGGCCGAAAGAGCTAGAATCACGGATCTCAACTCTTAGAGCTGGCTCATGCTCTCAAAAGCGGTCCTCGGAGAACTCAAGTGTCCAGTCAACTACTCGAAATCTAGATCCCATTCAAATATGTTAAGTTCCGCAGTCAGACAAGTCGAAATGCGGCAGCCACATCCCATCCGCAGTATGGAATCATGGCTCTCTCCAGAAACACCATATTGATGCATAGTCCACCTGAACCATAGCAAATCCACGTACCTCCGAAGAACAACCCACACTAAGAGTCCACTTCGGGAAAAGCTCACCCCATGACCGAATACTCAGACCAGAAAAGCACATCAGGACGCCTAGCGAAAACAATGACTCGAGTCCATCCAGCAAGCAACTACACCTCCATGCACAACCCGTCCATCATTGAAGATGCCTAGTACAAACCTCCAAGCACTTTGGTGCCCAGTCCGCCAATAGCAATAGCTAGAGCAAGCACAGTAGACGCAAGACAAAGGATATTGAAGTCACGGCATGTAAGCAAAGAAAGCCAAGAGATCCATAGCTCTGAATGACTAGAGCTGTTGGACAGTGGAGCAATACGCCGCGGTTGGTGTTGTCTGACATTACGACCCACTAGCCTACTAAGTAGTTAGATGCTCGTGATTGTGGCCATTTAAAGTTCTGAGAACCGAGAACTCGATTCTGATGGCAAACGTAGCAGCAAGGACATTGAAGAGAAAAAGAATTCTAAGTGTGGCCATCAAAATGGCTTGATAGTCAAGGTGTTGGGTAGAGATTTGAAAGTCCTTACGAACCTGCCTTAAACTACCATTAATCAAGTTATATAAACACATGCAAACAGGTAGTCGTCCTGGCTGAATGATATGATGCCAAAGGTTCAAGGAAAGTATCGATTACATAGTGGTATCTGGTGATATTCTCAGAAGCGAAGCAAACCATATCCCCCATCTTTCGCCTTGCAACTCCAGTCACGATCATGAAAGAACAACAGCAAGGAAATCCAACAGTAAGAACACCCACACGCCCCAATGACCAGTTCGTCGTTCCCTAGGAAGCTCAAATATTTCTCCTCCTCTTCAACCACCTCTTCACAATATCCCGATACGCAGCCGCCTCAGCAGGCCCAACAGCGACACGATCAACGCTCGACCTCTGGCTATTACGCCCCGCCGTCGCCACCACCGCCGCCGCGTTCGTCCTCGTCAGTAGAGCCATGGACCTGGAAGAGGGGTGTGTAAGCGGCGGTGGTCGGTAACAGGACCCGACGACGTTTTCAGCCCGCCGGGCCCTCTGCTGCTGCTTCTGGGACTCCGCACCTTTGATGAAGTTTGTCTCTTGTTCCCAGTGCGTCGGGATGTGGAGGACTTTGCTGTGGATCACGTTCATGGCGAGGACTGCGTCTTCTGCGCGGACGACGAGCCTGGGGTGATATTGGTTAGCATGGGTGATGAGCTGAGGAGGGATTTCGACGAGGTGCCAGGGGGGATGCAACTTACGATATGTTGATCTCGCTTGCTCCTTGGCTCACCATAAAGATGTTGATCTTGGCTGATGCTAGAGCAGACATGATCTCTGCTGAAATGCCGACCATATTTCTCATCTTATGTCCTATAATAGTGACGATGGACATGTTCTCTGTAATGATCACCTGTACGCACGGCATCTTCGGTTAGTACTGGTTTCAGATGGCAAAGAATATCTGAAGGGACTGTCTCTAGGTGCGAAGGCCTTACCTTTCCAAACTTCTCCAGCTCAACTCTCAACCTCTGATGTTGACAAGAGCCTTCTTCTGAGTGCTGGAACGCGAGACTCACGCTGCGCTCGCTGGTAGTGACGAGGTCCGTCTTGATGCCCGCATCCTCGAGGCGATCAAAGACGCCGGATAAGAACCCCTGGGACTTTGTGTTCCTGTTGCAAACCACATTGACCAAGAGAATGTCGTCTTTGACTGTGACCGCTGTAGGCCGCCTTCTTTCCTGTCGATCGCCGTGGTAACCATTGCCCAACATGTAGTCAATAGAGGGTAGAGGGACCTTGACGTCGACCTTTTCGTCTGTTGGTGTTGGGGGAGTAAGGGGCGGGGAGGGAGTTCGAGAAGGATAAATAATCGTCCCGGATGCCGTCGGGTTGAAGACGTTCTTCAGTCTCAGGGGAATGTTGGCGCAACGTATCTGATCCATCGTCAAGGGATGTATAACTTCGCTGCCGTAGTACGTCAACTCTGTAGCTTCCTCCGGCGTGACTGTGGATAACAGCCTTGCCGACGGGACCTTTCTCGGGTCCGCCGTGAATATCCCGTCAACCTCTTTCCAGATCTGAAGTTCCGCGGCCTTGGTACCCACCGCACACATGGCCGCACAAAGGTCCGAGTATCCCCGACCGACGTTCTTGAGCAGTGAGTCTGGCATGATGCCAAAGAAGCCGGTGACGATGGGAACATGGTCGCCGCAGTTATGTATCCTCTTGGTGATCTCGTCTGCAATGAGGTGATAGAACCGGGGACCGAGGTTGTCCAGTGCCGTCTTCTGGTCGAATACACTAGCACCGAACACCGCTTCGACTATGTCTTCCAGGATAATAGGTTCGGCCGGGATGTTTCTGCTACAGAGAAATGCAGCTACAACTCTGCACGCAAGCTTCTCTCCGAGAGCGATGACACGGTCCCGTGCCCTTGGAGATAGCTCGCCAATGATTTGTGCAGCCAGTAGGAAGCCGCGAAGGCTCTCGCATTCCTTGACAATGAGTGTCTTTGTGGTGTCGAAGATGTCGTTACACAAGTCGCTTCTTGTGCCATTGGAGTTAACGAGATGCTTCTCGAGAAGCCGGACATGACTATCCCGAATGGCATCAATGTTCTTGTTGAGCAGCGTCTGCGCAGAGAGTCCGGCCTCAGCGTGTGATACGCATTCAAGCAAGAGGCTTGTGGTTCCGCTCGACTTGGTGGAACCGGAGAGGGCCGAGCAGACGATAACCAGGTTGTAGTCTCGCAGATAGGATGGGACGATTTTGCTGCAGATCGACTCGAGAAGTTTTCCAAGGCTAGTACCACCGTACTTCTGCACCAGCCATGGCCTGTTTTCTCTGGAGGTCTCCATGGTTGGCGGTGGGACTAGGCAGACTGGAGGATGGCAAACCTGTCTTGCGCGCGTGGGACAGTGGAAAGGGTCAGTCGAGCGGGAGCCGGAGAGCTGTGGACCTTGTTCGATTCAAATTGAAATGTGCTCAAGTGACTTGGCCTTATTAAACTCCATATATCGTCGTGTTTTCCAGCCGCAGAAACTATGTCGATATTCTTTCCATGGGGTGGATTGCAAAGCACGATGGCAAACAGGCAATGGCGACTCGATATCCGGCGACGACTTTGGTCGAAGGGGGGACTCGAGGTCGGCGACGGACGTACCCCTTCGGCCAGTGTCCCAGTGTCCATTGCGGAATGGACAATTGCGCATTTCCACACCTTCGAGGCATATTTCCCAGAGGATTACTGCCATTGGAGATGCTGTTCGGGATGGGTGGAGTTTGTCCGTCGGTGAGTGCTGCATGATCGTGGGCCAAATCCCGGCTCGGGGTTTGAAGACCAGAAGCCACTATGACAACGGGATTCAGCCGCTCGGCGACTGCTTCCAACAGCTTTGCTCCATCGGTTTCGGCGCGGCGTTCTTAAGTTTTGGCGCGAGCTCAAAGTGTAGCGGCATTTGGTCGGCGCGAAGTTGGCTGGTGCCAAATGTGGGATGACATATTCTGCAATCTGCGGCCGCCACCATCCATGTAGGTGATTGTGTAAGTGACATCGGCGGTGATTGATCCTCGGACGCGTCGCCTGTCACTGCCCCCCGCCAACCAATAAAATGCCTCGACAGGAATAACTGACAAGCATCTGTGTCGGCTCCTCCCGTTGCAGACAGACAAAGTTGCAGGCCCGTTGAACAAGGGCGTTATCTACACTGGTTCCAGCTGGACGTCGTGGCGCTGGCGTTGGTCGATCATGGAGTACGCGCCCCTTCAACTCACACTGTAAGCATTGGCCGCCGTTCTCATCCAAACTGTGCATAGGAGACGATGCATGTGCTGTGAAAATGTTATTCCCCAAGCTCAGCGTAACTAATTTGGTATCTTTTTGCCACAGCGTGCTCGATGTGTTTGCAAGTGACTGGTGTGATCGGATTGTCAATTCGTTGAGATATCATTGCTGTCTTCGGTTGACAGTCCTGAATTCTTGTCATCGAGCAAAAGCGCTTCGCAGGCATAGGAAATTTCATCCGTCCTGTTCTCTGTCTTCCCGTCAAGTGGCGATGAAGTAACCGATAGAGATTGAAGCGCATTGAAACGCTGTGTGATTAGGTGAAAAGTCTCTATCTACGTCAAGTGTGTTTGTCGACGTGGTAAAACCGCTGTCAAAGGCTGCCGATAGCTTTGCCTAGCGTCGCGTCCATCTGAAGGATGCCCCTAACTTCGGGCTTTGACCTAAAGCCTGAGCTACCTAAACAGCTCTACCAATCTTCGACTTCGCCCGTCAAGCTTTCCCCAGCCTCATCTATCACAGCAAGGTCTAGCGATTCATCTGACTCATGTATCATGTCATAGAGATTCGGCAACTGACATCTTAGCTGGGCTTGGATCAAGGTATCGAGCTGCTCAAACTCGAGTAGGAAACCGTCATGTCCATCAGATGACTTGAGAACGTGTAATGATGCACCAGGCAAGTTGGTGGCAAGCCGCTCTTGTTGCTCTGGGAGGAACAGCGCATCGGTCTCAACGCCAATGACCAAGGCTCTCGGCGGTACTCGAGACAACACCTCTGCCAGGCCTTCGTCGCCCGATGATTGTGCCCGGCCATAGGTGACGTCGTGACTGTCCATCTTGTTGGTGATGTGCAAATAACAATTGGCATCAAACCTATTGATAAACTTCTCTCCTTGGTAATGTAGGTAACCCTGAGCCGAAAACGATGGAATTTGTTTCCGCTGCGGGCCTCTGTCTCTTCTGGGTCTCGGCGTTTCCATGATCGACGCGTCTGTCCTCGGGAGATCCAAAAGTGGTTCCTGAGGTATCTGGGGATTTCGTGGAGGTTTTCTCCCGAAGCGGCTATCGAAACTCGTGCAAGAACGATATGTCAGCATGGCAATCATCCGAGCTGCTGCAAGTCCTGCCGAGGGTTGGCCTTCCGGGATCGGCTCGTAGTATCCGTCGTCGTACTTTGGATCGGAGTAAATGCACTGTCGTTGGGTTTCAGCCCAAGATATGCCCCAAGCAGAGTGATCAGCAGCCGTAGCAATAGGAACAATGTTTCGGACAAAACCTGATGGTGTGCAGAGAGGCCATTCCAGAGTCGTCATGCCACCCATAGAGCCCCCAACGACGGCTGCTACTGACTTGACACCGAGAGCATCAAGCACTATGTTGTGTGCTCTCACATCGTCCCTGACCGTCGTCTGGGGGAACTCGCTGGCATATCGTTGGCCGGTGCCTGGGTTGATGGTCAAAGGTGATGCACTTCCATAGGGGGAGCCCAGGACATTGCCACAGAAAATGAAGAAGTGTCGAGGGTCAAAAGCTTTCCCGGGTCCTATGAGAGGGCTCCACCAGTCGCTCACGTCACTGCTCCCTGTCAGGGCGTGGCATATGACTAGAGCATTGTCGCTTTGCTCGTTCAATTTTCCCCATGTTTTGTAGGCGATTGGGCAGTCAAAGAGTTCTTCTCCTGACTCCAGCCGGAATGTTGGAATGACGGCGAACCTTTGGCCTCGAATGAGCCGGGCGTAGAAGTTGTCGGGATTCGGATCAGAGTCGAGTACTAGTGATTGCAGTCAGTCAAAGACGACTAATTGCGTGAGCCAAACAATGTAGTTAATACTCACAGAGAACCATCTTAAGACTTGTAAAGTGTTGGATGAAACTCGGAATGACTTCTAAATGTAAGTCGCCGTTACGTGGATAGTGTGGTGGCGATAGTCTAGGTATTGCACACGGCACGGAGTCGAGTTCAATGACAGAGATTTATTCTTCAAATTTGACCGGACAAACTTGCTTCCAAATAGCTGCAACTTTTACGGAACTAAATGCAGATGTCTTATTGTTCTTTGCAAGTTTAAGACGCTGAATTTCCAGACAGTTGCTGGCTCTCACTGCGAGCAAGTGCCGTCAGCCAGCCAGAGGAAGCCTCAGCAACCCCCGCCAACCCTTCCCCACGGCACAGTCTCGGACTTTCATCCCTTGATACCAAGAGCTGCCTGCTTCGTTATTTCGCATACCCCTATCATCTATCGATGAAGACTTCGTTGGCGGATCACCATCTCAACCTCCACGAGCCGGGATTTGAATACGTTCCGGGATTTGAGCCATAATCCCGACGATCCAAACTCCGTTTATCAATGTCGCCTCTTTTCCGGATTATCCCGGATGCATACGGCAAAATCGACGATCTCGAACGATAGTAAGGCCATCCAGTAACAATGACGCCCTGTTGTGACGTGAGTCACGATGGGTCACGTAGAGGGAGGTCCTTGAAAGCCATAACTGTTGGCACAGTGGCACCTTAGTTGCCAATCCCTGGACCTGCCAGAATTGTCAAGCTGTACGTGATCGAAAATGGTATCCACTCGTCCTATTGTCAAGGTTGCGGCTGTCCAGGCCGCACCTGTTTCCTTTGATCTGGAGAAGAGTCTGCAGAAGCTGAGTAAGCTTACGGAAGAAGCTGCCCAGGCCGGTGCAGATTTAGTTGTATTCCCGTAAGTGCACAATGCTGTTGGTTCCGGAAGATACCGCTAAAAGCTTGCAGTGAAGGGTTCTTGTCTGCTTATCCATGGAGATACGCGTTTGACGCAACAATTGGTGCCCGAGAGCCGCGAGGTAGACTTCTGGACACCTACCTAGAAAGGTAGAGGGCGCCGCTAATTCCTGAATCCTAGGACGCGAGTGGTATGCCAAGTACGTTGATTCGGCCGTCGAAGTTCCCTCTCCCGCCTTCGATAGGCTTTGCGAAATAGCCAAGGCAAACAACATCCTCCTTCATGTGGGAATTATTGAAAAGGCAGGCGGTACGCTGTACTGCACTGCTTTGCTTCTCGACCGGGAGGGCAAGCTAGTGTATAAGCATCGCAAGGTGATACAACTAATCCATCAACTCGGGTTCGAGACTAACAAGCATAAGCTGATTCCCACGGCCGCTGAGAGGCTTGTTTGGGGTCGAGGCGCCGGAGATGGCCTGTTAGTCAAGCCAACGGATGTTGGCAGAGTCGGAAGCTTGATATGGTTGGCTGCTCCCGTCTGCATGTGTATTTGTGGAAAAACATGCTGATCAAAACGCAGCTGGGAGAATTATATGCCGGCGGCTCGCATGGCAATGTACCAGCAAGGCATCGAGTACGTTGATCTGTTCCGGTGTCAAAGGGGAGAAAACTTGCTGACGTCGACAACCCACACTCGATAGGATTTACGTGGCACCCCACGCCGATGATTTGGCCACCTGGACAGCATCGATGCAGCATATTGCGAAGGAAGGGCGTTGCTTTGTAGTGTCTGTCAACTCGTTTTGCAAGGTGTCGGACTTCCCGCCTGACTACCCGCCTTTTACGGCCGAACACCACGATCGGAGGCCGGACGGAGCACAATGGGAGGCGGACGATATTCTCAACCACGGTGGCTCATGCATCGTCGGGCCGCTGGGCACTTTTCTTGCCGAGCCGGCGTGGGACAAGGAAGAGATCGTCTATGCCAGCCTCCGAATGGCAGACATCACGGAGTCCAAGGTAAGTTCCCCGGCACAGGCTGCGGGCATCCGCTAGTCATGAAATAGATTCTGAACTAACGGCGCCTTGCAGCTGGACTTTGACCCCATCGGCAGCTACTCACGGCCCGACATCTTGTAAGTGGTTCCTTTTAAGACATTGACAAGTGATAAGCCAGATATCCCTGGATGTGATGTGCGCCGATCCGAAGCTGACAAGTCGTCTCAGTTCGTTGACGGTCAACACCAAGCCGGCCGACAACGTCGTATTCACCAGCTGATGTCCCGTGCGTATTGAGCATGTTTGTGGGCAACGGCGGCGTGGGGGTGTGAACGGCAGGCGGGGTGCGGTGCGGAGTGACCAGGATG